CTATATATATATATATATATATATAGTTATTGGTAGAGTGTCTTGGGTTTGTGCTAGATAGCATCCCTTCAGTAGCAAAAGTTGATTTATTTTTTCTTTTTCAGCCTTTAGACTAGTAGAAAGCAAGGCCGTGTACTAGAAAGAAAATGATGACAGTTTGTGAAGTGGAAAAAAAACAGTGTCCTTGGTAACAGAAAAATAACATTATGGGGGTTTTCAGATTTCCTCTGATACTGAAATGCTGCCATGTTAAATGCAGTGGTACCAGTATATCTTATTAATGCTAGTTCCATAGTTTTATTCCATCCCTTTTGTTTTTTATTTTGGGGTATTAACTATATATATATATATATAGTTTATTAATTTCATTAAAAATACAAAACACATTACATACAACAAAACAATGCAAATCAAATAAAATGAAAGGTAGCAGATGAAGAAAAAAATTCTTATATCTGCTCCTATTTACAAAGTTCAACCCCTCAAACAGTAACTCATACAGATACAAATTAAACAATTTCATATGTCTTTAACAATTTTACTTTGATCATTTTTTGATGGAATTAATTGATCCCATGGTTTTACAAGTATAATCATACATACAACTACATATAAAAAAAGTCCCAGCTGAGTTTGAACCTGCGGCTATTGTGCCATACCATTCTAAATTCTAAAAAAAATATACAGTATGTTTCATCAAAGCACTGAAGGACTGCTTAAGTTGCCACACATTTTACTATTCATCATGCCGACATGAAAGTCTCGGAGCAGCAATGGTCAAAATACCAGGGAAAACCATGTTTTCACAACTGCCATGTGGTCTGAATAACAACTAAGGTATCAGGCAAACTACAGCAATCTCATTATCTCTGCAGTATAACACACAACACTTTTCTCATGGACTTACTTACATCATGCACAAACACACAAACTGCTTAAGTGCAAATGACAAATCACTCCATATTTGTATTTGCCGCGTTACAATCCATTTTCCTCATGCACCACTATTTGTATGCACATCATATGCGCTTCACCTTTTCTATATATGTATGTGCGCTCATATGGCGCACACAATGACTAATACGCTGGCCAGCTTTCTCTTTCTCCAGAGGCTGGACCACCTTTATTACATCAATTGCTGTATGATGAGAAAAATGAAAACAAATTTCTGCCTAATTACCTTACAAACAAACAGTCCCTCCATCAGTTCCTATGTAGGCCTGATGTGATGAATCCATTTTATTGCGTTGCAGCATCTGCATGCATCCATTCCAATTACCTCCCATCTGCTTGTGATGAAGTCCCGCATGAGGGCAACCAGCGCAGCCCAAGGGGAAATTAACTGTCTTGTCAGGAACACTTATCGCAACATCTGTACACATGGGTATCAGCATTGTATAGACACAAGTCAGCTATACACAGGTACATATGGTTTTCACAGAAATATATTTTATTTATGCAGCATTTTATTGACATTTCCAAAGGCATGTAAATCTACTAGGTATTTTTTTTTATTTTGGTTTGTAAGATTTTAGGTTTGCTCAGTGACACTTATTAAAGATGAAGGCTTTTGTCTTTTTATCAGAATCACCCATAATGTCACACACGTTGAGACAATTTACTAAACGGAACCAAAAAACAAGAAGTTTTCCACCCTCTGTTACTCTTCTCATTAGAGTGAATTTAGAGTAATTGTCTTAGGGCTTGTTTAGTATGCATCAGTGTGTGTGCCACAGATTACCTCAAACCATGACTTTTTCTTTAGTCTCGTGGCAATTAATCGGGTCCATTCATTGCGGAGAAGAATAAGCACAATGGTCACAGACTCCGCTTCCCCACTGGTGCCCAGCAAACAATGTAAACGGAGAACAACATTATCAATCACAGATTCTCCATAAAATTCACACTAAAGACCAGCAAAGAGTTTTACTTTGGTCAAATATTTCCAGCTGCACTCTCAATTTTTAGGGCATTTATTTGAATTAAATGAACTTCCTGGAAACAGAAACATATTTGCACATTCTTCAAACTTTTATCCCAAAATGTTCTTTTTTTTATCTTGATTAGAAAAATGCATGAATAAATTATACATGTATAGAGCTATTTTGCGCTGCAAACCAAACCTATGCAATGTTGTTAGTCTAATTTAGTCTTGAAATAAATATGTCTATTTTTTTGTTGTGCCTAGATTGGTGTGTGATGGGTTATTTCAGTCTTCATTGTAATAAATGATCTTTTTATATCTGTTGGATTGTTGTTTTTGGCAAGAGGTTATCTTTTCTCTAAGTTTCATTGTGCTCACTTCTTGATGATGTATCTAAATGTCACTTCATTGGCATCTCTTTCAAGTAGTTACTCACCGTACTTCTTTAAGGGAGTAAAAAAAGAGGGGGGGAAAGGGTATTCCAATTGTGGTTATGTAGTGACACAGTCGATAGCTAGCTTCTGGAAACAAATTCTGCTGCCAATCAAACGAAGCAACTACAGGCTAAAACTCTCACCTCTATCTATTATCAGTGAGAATGACTCACAGTAAGAGATTCTCAAATTTATTTTTATCTATGACATTTACTTAATGCTCATTGGTTATTGTTCAATAAGCTAAATAGAACTATTCATTAAACTGGCATGTGGAGTAGAAGGGCAGAATAAAATGTCTACTTTGCTTAGTCATCAATACATTAAAAAAGGATAACTGATGTTTAACTAACAAAATCTTAACTTGCCAATATAAAATTGCAAAACAGACTAATTAGTTTTACTTCATTTATTTAAAATTAATACCTTATTTTCAACACAAAGTTGTTTATGAATAACTGTTGCTATCTGACAAAACAAAAATATAGATATTTTAAACTGCTATCAATACCTGAAGTCACAGGTTTTATCTCATTTTATTAAATATTAAAAAATAAAATAAATACAGCGACATTAAACCGTGTGTGGTATTGTACCAGTGCTAAGACATACAGCGTGTTTCTAGACTTTATCATAACGCTGTTGAGTTTATTAATATTTAAACAAGAATTATTGTGTGATCCTTTATTTCTTCTTTTTTTTTTCTCCTGTTTCCTGCTTCCTCAGTTCTTGTCTTGCTCATCCTTACGCTGAAACGCCACAGGAAAGGCCAGAGGATGGCAGAGGACGAGGAGGACATGAGGGATAATGTCATCAAGTACAATGACGAGGGTGGCGGGGAGCAGGACACCGAGGCATACGACATGAGTGCTTTGAGGAACCTCTATGACTTCCCAGAGGCCAAGACTTGCGATTCTGGCCCGGACATCCGTTCGCTGCCACAGTGGATTCAAGCGAACAGAGTGAGCCTTGGTGCAGACGGAGCAACAGCAGCAGCAGCAACAACAGACTTCTCTCTGTTCAAAGGCTACATACGAAAAAAAGTGGAGCAGGCTGACGCTGATCTGACGGTGCCGCCGTATGACTCCTTCCAGACATACGCATTTGAAGGCGCCAGCTCACCTGCACTTTCACTCAGTTCAATCCACACACTGTCGAACACCTCGGAGCAGGATTTCTCTTACCTCCATGACTGGGGACCCCGCTTCAGGCAACTCGCAGGCTACTACGCGCCAGGAAACCGTGAGGAGGATGGGTCCTAGCACAGCTTCTTATCTAAAGAGAGACAGTTAAACTCTCTTCTCCTTTTTCTAGCTCCCTCTGGTACTCGACTGTCACTATCAGAGTGAAATCTGTGTACTCAATGAAGCTAGAGTACCGCCCCTTGATATTATTTTGAAAGTTTCTACGTGCAGGCTTTAAACCCATTTGGACTAGTTTGTGTTTTCTTTTACATCCCTACCCCCATTTGAAAATTAAGGATTTCAGTTTTTAACTGTTATTTTAGTACTATTATGGGAAAGTTGGACAGTAAAAAAACTTAGCGTGAAGCTGTTTCCTAAAAGGAAAACCTTCATGATAAGATATGACAGTAAGAGGGACAGCAGTCCTAATCTAGGATTCAGCGAACAGAGGAAAATACTTGTATTTAAAAGGAGGGAAATTTATTTATTTATTTATTTATTTGTTTCTATATTTATTATTGCCCCAATTACACTGATAACAGTAACAAACTGGTATTACGTGCTACAGGAACAAAAAAGGGAACATTACAAAGGACATTACAAAGGACGAGACTACAAAAAGCAACTGCTTTGCCCCATTGTTGGTGCAGTACAAAAAAAAAGAAAATAAAAATGTGTAGAGCATATGAAAAATTACACTGTTAAAAAATATTTGTATTTATTTTCTATGGTAATTTTTGTAAAATAAAAGGGAAGATAAACATATGGTAAGCAACCGTAAAGGGACAGAGAACCGCAGCATCATGAGCTGAGTCAGAACAGATTCCCTTGCTGTATTTTACTGATTCTCAAGGTGGGAATTCTGAAGGTGGGAAACTGTGGACAATTGTGTGTTAACAATGTCTTTTCTTACCCTTTCCACAGCCATTTGTAAGGCAATAAGGCACAAACCGCAGCAGTGATATAAAATAAAGAAGAAAACAATTTAAAAAAACACTATGGAGTTGGCTGATGGCCAGCTTTGTGCCACGGGGAGCCAGTCTATTCCAGTTTTTGTGTGAATGTGTACAATATGTTGAATTAATTTTGTACGTTAAGATGTTTGGTTCAGTTTTGAATACTTTGTTTACTTTTGGGCGAGGGAAATAATATCTGTTCCGGCATAACAATTGTGTTCAAACAGTGAGGACAGGTTTATGCGGCAACACATAATGAATTGATAACATTCACCTGATATCCCAACGTATTCCATGTTGACCTTAACTTGCAAATGTATGGAAAGTATTAAAAAAAGACCAATAAATATTTAACTTTTTTTTGGTAAATCTCAATGAGTTTGATAGTCTAACTTACTTATTTGTTCCGTAAATGAGATGACTGCGATAAAATGAAAAATGCCCCCATGTTAGTAATTGTGTGTCAGTTGTTTGCTGAAGACATCTACTGAATTATGAATAATTGCAGAGATAGTTTTTGTTTACACCAGGGATGGATTCAGAGAATGCTTGTAGGTGGAAACAAATGCCCCATATGACAGGACTCAGCCAAACAAAGGTTCTTCTCCCGGTTTGTCTCCCTCCTGGCTGTTTCCTGCCAAACCCCTGTAATTGTCATAGTCACCAGAGAGCGCTGAGGCATTCAAAGATGCTTTCATCTGCGCAGTAAGACACTGAATTCACCTTCCATGACTCTCCTGCCAGTGAAATTTGTTTTGAACATAAATTATCTAGGATTGCAATACAAAACAATTTTAGCTGAACGACAATAACTTCAACTTTTATTGCTGTTATAATCTGTTTTGTTCGCTTATCAGTGCACAAGTGATGGCAGAGATACCAGCCCCACTGTACTTAATGGTGTTGCAATTGCTGTGCGGTAGCAGATCTTCGATATTTTCATTATTTGTTTGAATAATCCTCAGAAACCATTAGAATCAATTGGCGGTGCATATATATCACGCTGAAAAGTGGAATGTGATTAAGTTCAAATGAAACTCAAATTGATTTTACCATTTCAAATGCATTTTACATTTATGTCTTTATTGGTAAGAGGCATATTCTCGTGCTGTATTGAGCTGTATAGCATCAGTTTACAGGTTTATTTTTGTAGTTTTCGGAACAAGAGGGTTGGTCATCAATTATTAACCGCAGCCCTTTGCCTAACAGCATTTGCTTTCTGACAAACAGAAGCTGTAGTTTCATTGGCCCAAATAGAAATACACATGTTTGTGAGCACAAGTTACTGCCATAAAAGTAGAACTGGACTAAAAGATTACATGTGCTTTTAATAAAAATCTCTACGTGTTGCCTGGATCAGGGGTTCTCAAACCTTTTGGATCTGGGGACCCTTTACAAGGGTGAAAAAATTCCAGGGACCCCCTCCTGAACCCCATGCTGTTTTAAAATAATTTACTGTCATTTTAACCCCTAAATGCCATGGTAATGTTTTTTTTATTTGGTTTAGTATGTTTGTTTTAAAATAAAAAACAAATTAACAATTTATTGAAATTTTTTGAGGACCCCCAAGACATGGCTCGTGGACCCCCGGGGGTCCTGGGACCCCAGTTTGAGAACATCTGGCCTAGATGATAGCAGGTCATGTGACTAAAGCTGTGAAGTCATATTGTATTGTCCCTTTGTTGTCCCTCTTCTTTAGTATTGCCACAGCAAATGAACCTTTCATTCATCTTCCATCACTGTCAGAGAACATGTCACTCATTAGTGATGACCTGCACATGTGAACATATGAATGTGTTGCCATCAGTCAGACACCCCCAACCCCCAACTCCAAGGGCAACATGAAGCCAGCCATTAGTTATGCAGTTGGACTTTTGGTGATTGACAGTTCTCCGGGGGATAGCGGTGAGCACATTAAATATCCTCCTTTTCCTTTTGTACTTGGCTTGGTAATGACAATTGATTAAATAATGGAGGAGGGGAGGTGAAGGGGTTGGAAGAGTTAGAAAAGGGGGGGTGGGGGCATACAAATGTGAATGTCGCAAAACATCAATCATATGTAGACTAACAGCTATTAGTTATTTTAATTTCCAGGCACTCTAAAAACAAAAGTTTCACCTTCAGCGTGATAAAAACAAATCCGTTTTGACAAAATATGCTGCAATAACAGATCCAGCTTACATCGCAAAGCAAAAATGCTCTGACAAGCTGGAGGACAAAAATGTAGCATAAAGTGAGTATTTTATTTAGATTGCTATTGACTCTTAACAAAAACAGCACTCAAGTATAAAATTGTAGTATGTTCTTTAGTCATGAAAATAACTTGTTTCAAAGGTTCAGACAGGCATTTCATTCAAGGCCTGGATAATGACTGACTGTTGTTGTTTTCGTCATGTCAAGATATTATGGGGGTTTTCAATAATGTGTTATTTTTTTCAGAAAAAAAAGAATAAAAAATCTATTTCTTTGTTTAGCACTTTTACAAATCAAAGGATGCACTTAAGACAGCATAAAAAACACAATAGCAAAAATAATGTTAAAAAAAGGCATGGGTGGGCTTAAGGTATCAAAAGGCAACCCAAGTTGCAGCAGACCAGGTGCATTTGTATGATGCAAATAAACTATACCACCTTTATGCATACAGATCAATTTATGAAAAATTGCACCAATAAACACTACATTTATAAGATGATTGCATGATTCAATGGATAGTCAACAAAGGCTGAACTGTGTGCAAGATGATTGCTAATTCAAAAACAGAGATGTTCCAAGCAAGCCACTTAGCAGGTCTTGTGCAATTTGCAAAAGATGTCCACCATACATTAAATGGCCATTTAAATGTGTTTGAAAAAAAATCATATAATTTCTTAAATGAATTCTATTCTGCTACAATACTTGTGACCCAGACAAGAAAAAAATACCCCAAAAACTCCAACTGTAGTTAACGTGAACTCCACAGACCAAAGCTCCAGGGGATTCACCAAACACCCTCCCACCTTGAGGCATCCAGACCAGTGCCACCAACAAATAAAAGCACATCTTAAGGCGTTAATATGATATTGATTTTGCTATTGTTTGTATAGCTCCTCCAGTAGATTGTTTTAAATCACAAAGGTCCTATTGGAAGAAGCACAATTACTCCTTTTGTTGTTATTAAAGTTCCGGTCTGCCAGAAAAGCTTGAAGATCAAATTGTTGCGCTCTCACCCACTGAGGAAATAAACCCTGGCTTTGTACGCAAAAGGCAAACCAAATTAGGTGTTAGGTGACTGGTGA